GGCGGCCGCCTCAGAACTCATGCCGTAACTCATGAGATTTACCTCAAAACTCCATGCACCGCTGCTGTGCCGACATTCGCATGGAGTGACGCCGTCGCCATCAGCAGATCCCCTTGCCCCTGTACCACATCATAGGACAGGTGAACGAAACAATCGGCTAGAGCAGATCGACGAATGACTGAGCAACTCTGACAAGAGTCGGCTTCGCATACGGCCACAATTCGTTAGCACAACGGTCTAAATACCAACTACGTCCTGCTGACGATGATTAGTTGAAAAAGTTCAGTTTGTTCCTGTCTGAGTTTCGGTTAAGGCTTTCCGCCCGAAACTCAACTTTGTCAATGAGGTAAGCTTTCAGTTATGGTGGCGCAAGATGAAATATCGTCTCGAATAAGTTACCGTTCAAAGTGATAGTCGGTTTATATCACTACGGTATGAAACAAATTTGCTTTTCAGTGCAGACTGGTAATGTGTGGCTTCTACAGCGTTACAGCCTACATAAAGCCGCGTCATAACTAAATATGCAAGCAACAATGCTGAGGGTCAGGAACACGGTTAGGCTATTAATATTCCAGAATAATGTTCAAGTAAAACCGCATTATTACCGTTTTGAACTGAAATACGAAATAATTTCGATCTATACCGGTATCTATCTGTCATTATTACCACTACGAGCGGTAGCATACCCACAGAACCAGCCATCGCCACGTTCCATTTGGACCAAAGCGAATACCGGAGCTAATTCAATAAACGTTCGTGAACTTTTCTAACAGGGCACCAAAATCATAAAAGCATACCGACAAAAATATCTGGGCAGCCCTGCGTATAACTGCTCAGAAAGTAGGTACTTGTAGCGATACATTTTACCACCTTCCTCACCCGCCCGGTTCTTCCTCTGAACTAAAATTCTGCAAGTACAGGCAAACTGAACACATTTAGAATGCGTCCTTCGATCAACAGCACCACTGCAGATTAATTAAATTTCCGCATTATCCTGCCAACATGTACGCAGACGATCAAAACGGAGCAGAATACTCCATCAGCCAATGAACAATGGCCAGAACAACGTGCCATCATACAATATAACTGAGACCCCTTATTCAGCGCGTCCCCTGCTAGTTCCTCTCCATTTTCACAACAACACATGCGACGTGACCGGCATGCGTGTGAACGCATCTAAAACGAAAAGCCTAGTGCTTTCTCGTTCTCCTGCC